GTCATAGTGAGTGACAAGATCGTCATAGTGAGTGACAAGATCGTCATAGTGAGTGACAAGGTTGTCCTACTTAGTGACAAGGTCCTCCTAATTAGTGACAAGATTGTCATAGTTAGTGACAAAATCGTTATAGTGAGTGACAAGATCGTCATAGTGAGTGACAAGGTCGTCCTACTTAGTGACAAGGTCCTCCTAATTAGTGACAAGATTGTCATAGTTAGTGACAAAATCATTATAGTGAGTGACAAGATCGTCATAGTGGGTGACAAGATTGTCATAGTGAGTGACAAGATCGTCATAGTGAGTGACAAGATCGTCATAGTGAGTGACAAGATCGTCATAGTGACAAGATCGTCATAGTGAGTGACAAGATTGTCATAGTTAGTGACAAGATTATCATGGTGAGTGACAAGATCGTCATAGTGTGTGACATGATGATCATAGTGAGTGACAAGATTATCATTGTTTATCATTTTTTGCAGACAAATTTCAATGCTGTCAGCTACTCTAAGAGGCAGAGTTCATTTAACATTCGGAGAAATGAAAAGTCGACATCATCTGTTATTCTTCAGTCATGTGCTAGGAATACTAGAGTTGATGCAACCATATCTGTTCCAGCAGGATGTGGATGTGTTACACTCAACATTGGAGTCATACTTTGAACTTGTCAGGGTAGGTGCAGTTGAATGTCAGTTACCATATTCAATGCCACATATTTTATTCCATGCATTATGGGCAGCATACAACTATGACATTGAATCATTTACATTATCTTTTTGTGATTTCTAACTGTTACTATGATGTTATCCTAATTTGGTGATAATTTAATGAAACATGCTACTTGTGACCCTTTAACCACTGACATTGCCTCATTCATGATGAGCATGTAATCGCAACAGTTCATATAAATCAATTTGTTTTCATTGTCAATGATATTTGAAGTTTGTTTGGAGATGTAAGGGTTGTCATGGAATTTGGTAAATGCAGAATATATGAAAAAACAATTCTTGGAATTGTTATTCAGTCAATAAAAAAGAATCAATAGACCAATCTGATTAACGTTGGATGTTGGTAATGGTGGTTATTTTTAATCACTGAAAACTACTGTACACACCACTACCTACTTGTAGAGAGGCATGTACATAACCAGTGATCCTATCATATATATAGTCTTCACCTGTGTCAGATTTTAATTAAATTAGTCATAAACATGCACTGATTATCACCATAGTCCAACTTTCTGTCAGGTCTATTGACATCGAACTACCAGAAAAATCCTAAATATTAAAATTAGCATATTTACATATTTATGTTTTGATGTTTATTTTGTGTTATCTGTCTAGGAACATGGAGCACAGAAATTATTAGCGGGACTTATCAATAAATTTTTGGAATTGCTGCACATGTATTGTAATTATGATCAAGTACAAGCTGGGATTCTATTACAGAAACATTCATATATACTACAGTAAGTCTTATCAATGTAATGGAATCGCTTTCTGAAAAACAGTAAAGTGTCTTTGTTTATCTTAATGTTGTCTAGACATGTGATTTACTGTACAAAGAAGTAATAATGTAGTATCATGTGTGGTGGCTGACAGATAAAAGTATGGGAACATTTCAAGAGTATGGTGACTGAGATCTGTAAAAAACGATGATTCCCAAATTAATAGCATTTACGTGTTTATCATTTATGCGCTTGCACATATTGCATGACCTGAGGTCAACAAACTGGAAGGTAATACAGATTTTGAACATTCCAAAGGCACAGAGTCGCAGTACATCGAACATCAATGTTTCCAACTCGCAACATACTAATTCCCCTCAAAACTGCTATCAACTAACTTGTAAAAGCCTCTGAAAATTTGCACACTATCTTGCCCTAGCAAGAAAAAAGATGATGCAAATTATATAGTGTGATATTTTCGTATTTTTTTGCAGGTATTTTGGGAGTTGAAATATTATGTCACGGTCATATTTACTCAGTGAAATACACGCATACCCATCTCTATTTTGCTCCATTTCTCCAAAATATCATCTTTTTCAACTGTAAATCTACGTTTCTCTTAAATAGTAATAACAAAATAAATATTAAAACAAAAAGAATAAATCGATTGTACAATTGTTGTTTATGTCTTAACACTGTCATGTTAAATCTTGTGAGTGTTTGAGATATCAAAATTTATTCAAATTGACTTATCAGGTCTGTACCTATACAGCAAGTTTCATTAAAATCACTTGAGTGATTCTGGAGGCTAAAAATTGGCTAATTTATGTAAATAAAGTAATTACGCTTGGATTTCAACCAGAAACTAAATCGGTATGCACATATTATATGTACCATGTTTGATTGAAATACAATGATTGTTTTTTGAGATATCAATGGAACAAGCACAAGCACACAGACAGAGACAGACAGACAGACAGACTCACTCATATTAATAATATTTTGTGCATATGAAAGTTTGTGATTGCCCTAATTTTATATAAAAATAATAATATTATTTTCATATTTGTGATATTTGTTTCCAGTGACCTGTGTAATTGTTATCCGGATTCTTCCATTTTAAAGACATTGATTGCAAGTACGGCATTGCCAAGTAGGAAACAAGAAACACAGATTCCTGCTACAGACGGTGAGATATCCCATAATATCAAGGACTACTCAACCAGTGACAACTTTACCTCCTCAACAATGGGTGCTGAATGGACACACAAGGATCTATTGCCTCTCATTAGAAAACTAAGTAAAGAACAAAGTGTGGAAGGTTTGTATTAATGCTTAGCGTATCCACCCAGCACCAGAAAAATTCTCCTGTGGTCATACTGCCCATCGGTTTTCAAAATTGTGAATATGGTGTCTAGTATATATGTCAGTCCCGTGTACTTTCTTGTCCTCAGTGTTCGTCAAAAATCACAGCATTGTCACAGTCGGTGTGTAGTAAATAAGTATCAGTTCAGTGCAACAATGGTCAGACGAATGACATCATGATGAGTGTTGATGTAAAGCACTTACATTGTACGTACCTGAAGTGCATTTCAAATAGAAGTGCCCATAAAAACGAAATTGTTTTACTAATACAGCAAATACAATATATATTCATGCTAAATTGTTAGTTCTCAAGTTCAGATACTGCTTCTTGTTTCAATGACAATATCTATCTATGATAAATGTTGAGTTGGTGAAATAAAAATTAACAAATAATGAAAACAGACTTACATCTTGCTGTGCATTCGTTTTGTGATCAAATTCCAGATGGCCAATTTAGTGTGAAAAATTCATCAAATCAAGCGTTTATGTCTTTGCAGAACCATATCTTGGTTGCATGTGTATAGGAAGATTTGTTTGTTCAGACTTGCTACATACATTTGACATTATAAGATGTGCATCACTT